TTGTATAGAGGATTTTCCAAGGAACGAGAAATCCAGCGACTGTTTGTCCTTTTTCAAATGTTGCGCATGCGTGAAACCCCCCCCTCCCCCACAGCTCCTACGTAGAAACGCCTTCTCCCTCCTCCTCCTTTATGCCAGAAACAGGTTTGTTTACAGCCGGTGCTGCACATGACTTGTAAACAACTAACTACAGTGTTGGTTAGGCAAGACGGAGAAGTGAGGAGCGGGGGGAGCGGGGGGGTGTGCGGACATTTCGTTCGCGGACGAGAAGTGCGGAGCAGGGAGAGAGAGGGAGCAGGAGAGGAGGGGGAGCGGTGCGCGGAGATTCCGTGCCCGGAGAAGTGAGGAGCAGGGGGAAGAGCGGAACGGGCAGCGGGGACAGGAGCAGGAAAGGGGTGCAGAGAAGGTTGCGCGGAGATTCAGTGCGAATGAACTAGCTACAACACGCAGCAGCAAGCGGACTCTTTCTTTGCCTTGAAAATTACGTTTTCAGACATAGGATATCGCTTTCGTGTCCTGAAAAACGTTTGACTAGCTCTTGGAAATAAAGTACGTTTTCATAATAAGCAGAAGTTTCCTGTCCAGGAGTAATTTGTGGACCAGTGCGTCAGTCTTTAGACCCTGCGTCTGCTTCAGTTGCGCCATCGCTGGAATGAATCTTCAAGAATCACCTTAGTTTGGCTTCGCTGCTTTTCCCCTTGTCTTCTTCTTTCAGCGACCTCAAAAACGGACTTTCTTTTGCGGCGAACTGCTCCTGGATTCTTGTCGCCATTGCAACAAACTTTGTGCGAACTGCGAGGAAGATATAGGTCAAAAAAAGCCGCTAAGAACTGTTGCGTTGGTGGAGTAAACAGCGTCTGTGCGGCTTGCGTCTGTGGACTGCGTGACAGTCGTACGTAAACCACGTACCGGCGGCGCGCAGGCAAGTCAGTTACGCTAGAAACGTAGGGAGTTTGATTGACAGCCTGTCAGCTCACAGATAACGAGGCAGTGTCGTTATCTATTGGCAAATGTTTAGCCCCACCACGTCCAGAGTTGATGAATTTTTATTCTCTTTTTTTTGGTCATCATAATTACAAGGCTACTGCATCTCTATAATGTTATCATTGACAACTTGAAACAAAAAAACAAAAACAAAAAATCCTCCATACAACCTTTAAACGTTTCATATGTAGGCGACTGAAGGCGAGGGTGCAATTTGTCCACGTTTTGTAGTGGTTCTGTGGAGTGGAGTGCGAAATGTTGTCTTCTTCCTAGGGTGGGCGCGACAGAAAATAATTGAGAAGCACTGATATAGTTTATGGTCTTTTAGATAAATAACTTATTATCATCAATAGTATCGGTATCAAGTATGTTTCTGAATGTCTGAGTTTAAAATTCAACACTATTAAGACCAGAACTTAAATACACTTAATTATTTGGCGCAATCAACCAATTTCAATTGTAATCAGAATAAATGTGATCAATTTCACATCTTCAGTTTGAAGTGTTTACCAGGCCTGCCTCATTCATAATTCACCACAGCCGGATTTTGGTAATTCAAAGATAAACAGCCCAGAGAAACCGGCTCTTTTATGCCAGTGTGAGAGGAGTGCCCTGATTTTACCTTTTTTTACCCAAATCCATCCAAATTAAAAAGACTGAATCTGTGTTTTTGGAGTTTACAAGTTCAAAGATGTCCAAAAAGTTGTTTGAAATGAACCCAAAATGGATTTCTATTTGGGACGAATTATTTTGGGAAAATATCTGATCTAGATTTGTGATTTAGATTAGATATTTTCCTTGTGGAGGGTCCGTCAGATGTTTTTCTCCATGGAGATGTTGTTTCTTTGTCTGTTCGAAAATTTGAATCGATTGTGATTCATATTCCAGACAGTCCTGTTCTTTATGATATGACAGATGATTGTGCTTTTGTATTGTATTTCCAATTTGGTTGAATCTTCCCTCACTGATTTATCTCCCTCTCTCTCCATCTCCCTCATCTCTTTCTCCTTCTCTCTCTCTTTATCTCTCTTGTCTCTTTTCTTTCCCTTTTATTGTCTCTCTCCCCTCTATCTCTGTCTCTATCTCTCTCCTCCTTTCTCTCTTCCCCCTCTTTCTCCCCGTGTCTCTGTGTGTCTGTCTCTCTCTCGTCCTTCCCTCGTCGTTACTCTCTCTCCGTCTCCCCCTCTTTCTGTCTCTCACCCTCTCTCCCTCTCTGTCTGTGTCTGTCTCTCCTTCCCTCCTCTCTTTCTCTCCCCTGTCTCTTTCTCTGTTTCTTTTGATCTCTCTCTGTCTCTTGTCTTTCTCTCTTTCTTTCCTCATTGTTACTCTCCCTCTCCCACTCACCCTCTTTTCTTCTCTCACCCTCTCTCCCTCTCCGTGTCTGTCTCTCTCTTCTTTCCCTCCCCTTCTCTCTTCCATTCTTTGTCTCTCCCTGTTTCTCTCTGTCTGTGTCTTTCTCTCTTCCTTCCCTCAATGTCTCCATCTCTCTCCCTCTCTCTGTCTGTTTCTTCTTTCCCTCATCTCTTTCTCCCTTACCCTCTCTCTTTCGCTCTCATCCTCTCTCCCTCTCTGTTTGTGTGTATGTCTGCCTTTCTCCTCTTTCCCTCATCTCTTTCTCCCTCTCTCTCTATTTTTCTCTCCCTATCCACTCTCTCTCTCTCTCTCTGTCTGTCTCCTCCCCTCATTGTCTCCATCTCTCTTCCTGTCTCTGTCTCTCTCTCCTTTCCCTCATCATCATCTCTCTCTCTCTCTCTCTCCCTCTCAATTGTCTCTGTGCCTGTCTCCCTCTCTTTCCCTCCCCCTCTCTGCCTCTCTCTTTCGCTGTCTCTCTCCTTTCCCTCATCATCTCTCTCTTGCGCTCTCTCCTAACTCCCTCTCATCCTCTCCTCCTTTTTGTCTCTGTGTCTGTCTCTCTCTTCTTTCCCTCATCATCTCCATCTCTCTACCTCTCTCTCTTGCTCTTCCTTCCCTCATTGTCATCTCTCTCTCTCCCTCTTTCTCCCTCTTTCCCTCTTTCTCTCTCACCCTCTCTTCCTCTCTGTCTCTGTATCTGTCTGTCTCTTCTTTTCTCGTCTTGCTTTCTTTCTTTCCCTCCCTCTCTTTCTCCCTTCCTCCCTCTCTTTTTTCCCCCTCCATCTCTCCCTCTCTCTTCATTTCCCCCTCTCTATGTCTCTGTATCTGTCTGTCTCTCTCTTGTTTTCCTCATCTCTGTCCCCCTCTCTCTCTCCCTCTCTTTCTCCTTCTCTTTCCCTCCCCCTCTCTCTCGCTCTCTGTCTCTCTCTTCCTTCCCTCATCATCTCCGTCTCTCTACCCCTCTCTCTTGCTCTTCTTTCGCTTATCGTCATCTCTTTCTCTCCCCCTTTCCCTCTTTTTCTCTCACCCTCTCTGCCTCTCTCTTTCGCTGTCTCTCTCCTTTCCCTCATCATCTCTCTCTCTTGCGCTCTCTCCTAACTCCCTCTCATCCTCTCCTCCTTTTTGTCTCTGTGTCTGTCTCTCTCTTCTTTCCCTCATCATCTCCGTCTCTCTACCTCTCTCTGTTGCTCTTCCTTCCCTTATTGTCATCTCTCTCTCTCCCTCTTTCTCCCTCTTTCCCTCTTTCTCTCTCACCCTCTCTTCCTCTCTGCCTCTGTATCTGTCTCTTCTTTTCTCGTCTTACTTTCTTTCTTTCCCTCCCTCCCTCCTCTTTCTCCCCTTCCTCCCTCTCTTTTTTTCCCCCTCCATCTCTCTCTCTCGCTTCATTTCCCCCTCTCTCTGTCTCTGTATCTGTCTCTCTCTTGTTTTCCTCATCTCTGTCCCCCCCTCTCTCTCCTCTCTTTTCTCCTTCTCTTTCCCTCCCCCTCTCTCTCGCTCTCTGTCTCTCTCTCGCTCTCTGTCTCTCTCTTCCTTCCCTCATCATCTCCGTCTCTCCACCTCTCTCTCTTGCTCTTCTTTCGCTTATCGTCATCTCTTTCTCTCCCTCTTTCCCTCTTTCTCTCTCACCCTCTCTCCCTCTCTGTGTCTCTGCATCTGTCTGTCTCTCTCTTCTTTCCCTCATCATCTCCATCTCTCTACCTCTCTCTCTTGCTCTTCCTTCCCTCATTATCTTCTCTCTCTCTCCCTCTTTCTCCCTCTTTCCCTCTTTCTCTCTCTCTCTCTCTATGTCTCTGTATCTGTCTGTCTCTCTCTTGTTTTCCTCGTCTCTGTCTCCTTCTCTCCCTCCCCCTCTCTCTCCCTCTCTGTGTCTCTGCATCTGTCTGTCTCTCTCTTTCCCTCATCATCTCCATCTCTCTACATCTCTCTCCGTCTCTCTTCCTTCCCTCATCATCTCCGTCTCTCCACCCCTCTCTCTTGCTCTTCTTTCGCTCATCGTCATCTCTTTCTCTCCCTCTTTTTCTCTCACCCTCTCTCCCTCTCTGTGTCTCTGTATCTGTCTGTCTCTTTCTTCTTTTCTCATCTCCCTCTCTCTCTTTCTTCCCCTCTCTCTATGTCTCTGTGTTTGTCTGTCTCTTTCTTCTTTTCTCATCTCCCTCTCTCCCTCTCTGTGTCTCTGTATCTGTCTGTCTCTTTCTTCTTTTCTCATCTCCCTCTCTCTCTTTCTTCCCCTCTCTCTATGTCTCTGTGTTTGTCTGTCTCTTTCTTCTTTTCTCATCTCCCTCTCTCCCTTTCTTTCCCCCTCTCTATGTCTCTGTATCTGTATCTGTCTCTCTCTTCTTTTCTCTCACCCTCTCTCCCTCTCTGTGTCTCTGCATCTATCTGTCTCTCTCTTCTTTTTCTCATCTCCCTTTCTTCCCCTCTCTCTATGTCTCTGTGTTTGTCTGTCTCTCTCTTCTTTTCCTCATCCCTCCCTCTCTCTCTCTCTCTCCCTCTTTCTCTCTCACCCTCTCTCCCTCTCTGTGTCTCTGCATCTATCTGTCTCTTTCTTCTTTTCTCATCTCCCTCTCTCCCTTTCTTTCCCCCTCTCTATGTCTCTGTGTCTGTCTGTCTCTCTCTTCTTTTCCTCATCCCTCCCTCTTTCTCTCTCTCTCTCTCGTCTTCAGGCCGTGCACTCGTGCCACAGCGAACCCGCCCTGAGTCAGAACGAGCTCGTCCTCACCGCCGACGCCATCATGAAGAGAGAGGACTTCCTGTGCTGCAGAGACGGCTTCCTGGAGGTAACTGTCAGCGCGGCGCCCCCCTGTGGACGACCGGCTATTTCAGTCACATTGTCTCTGTCCCGTCAATCATGTCCAACACCGCGGACAATTTAGGGCGACCTGAGGTGAAAGGCAAAAGCTCAGGAACTGAACTTTAAGGGTTTTATTCAGCTCTTTTACATAAACTGTAGATATAAATGGACTTAGCTGAATAGGAAGTTTGTATGGACGCTGTTCCGGCTCCAATTGACTTTACCTTGAAAAATTGTCGCTCTTCTCTCTCTGTAGCTGCTGCTGTGAGCCTTGTCGTTTTGGTCTTAAAATGTTCATATTAACCCACTCTACTTCCATGATCCTGGGGTTTTTTTATTTCACTGTTTTGTCCTTAAATCAATTCCTAATATGGAACTCGGCTCTTACAAACGCATCTTAAGTTTCATTTAACTGGAGTCCAATGCTCTGGGTTGCACCGGAGTATAAGTCACAGGAAACACCCAAACCCCGAAAAAGAGTCCAACTTATAGTCCGAAAAATGTCCGGGTGGGAGCGTGTGACCTCGGGGAACATGCTTTTTTTGTTGCCGTACTAGAATAAAATGTAATTGCACATCCACTGCAGCAGTTGGCAGTGACGCTCTCATTGTCAGAGTGTGCGTAGGGAGTATTAGCGCTATAGTGTTGTTGTTGTTTTTTTGCACCGAGCAAACGCACACACAGCACAGAGCAGGAGATATGAAGTACAGAGAACAAACTGTATGTAAAGGGTTGGTAGCGCTCGGCTTCACTGCGACTACGGCGGGGAAACGAGGAAAGACCAATGTGTTTACTGTGTCTAAAAGTGTTGGCAGCGGACGGCATGAAGACAAATAAATTACGGCGTCACTTAAAGACATTACACCCCAATCACGCTGATAAGACACTTGAGTTTTTTCAGCGAAAACGTGCCGAATATTGCTTTGTGAACGCTCCTTCAGTAAACCATGGAACTCTGTTAGCGTCATATTCGGTGGTGTTCCAAATAACAGAGGAGCGGATATTGCCGAACTTTAACACTAACATCACCTTTAAAGATGAGGAGGACATGGAAGCGGACCGCCTCAAGATGCAGGTGAGCATAGCACGGAATACGGACGGACACATGCTGCGTTTGTGCGATTTGTCCACGTTTTGTAGTGGTTCTGTCGAGTGGAGGGTGCGAGAGGGGGCGTGACAGAAAATAATTGAGAAGCAATAAATAAGTTATTATCAGTGTTGGGGAGTAACAGATTACATGTACTGGAGTTACGTAATCAGAGTACAAATTATGAGTAACTGTATTCAGTTACAGTTACTGTTTCAGTGAGTGGTAATTGGATTACAGTTACTTTGTTGAAATAAATGGATTACATGGCGGTATGTTCCCGTTTTCAAATTTGGGGCTATATCCATTTCTTTTTTCTTTTTTTTTCGGTAGTTCCACTCATTGCCGTACACTAAACCAGGTCTAAACTAGGTCTAAACCAAGACTAAACCAAGACTAAACCAGGAATAAACCAGGAATAAAACCAGGTCTAAACCAGGTCTAAACTAGGTCTAAACTAGGTCTAAACCAAGACTAAACCAGGAATAAACCAGGAATAAAACCAGGTCTAAACCAGGTCTAAACCAGGTCTAAACTAGGTCTAAACCAGGTCTAAACTAGGTCTAAACTAGGTCTAAACCAAGACTAAACCAGGAATAAAACCAGGTCTAATAAAACCAGGTCTAAACCAGGTAAACCAGGTCTAAACTAGGTCTAAACCAAGACTAAACCAGGAATAAACCAGGAATAAAACCAGGTCTAAACCAGGTCTAAAACAGGATTTAACAGCACTAAATCATGCTGTGTGCACCATGTCTCCTCGTCTTCTATCAATAATATTTTTAATATGGTTCAGTAAAGACTCGGCCTTTTAATTTTTTTTTTAGCAGATAAAACATCTTATGTTACGATTTCCTCGTCTTTGCTTCTCTACAGCAAATCAAGTAATCCAAAGTATTCAGATTACATTACTCATTTTAAGTAATTTAATGGATTATGTTACAAACTACATTTTGGGGTATGTAATCTGTAATCTGTAGGGGATTACATTTTAAAAGTCACCTTCCCAACACTGGTTATTATCATCAATAGTATCGATATCAAGTCTGTTCCTTACTGTCTGAGTTTAAAATTCAACACTATTAAGACCAGAACTTAAATACACTTAATTATTTGGTGCAATCAACCAATTTCAATTGTAATCAGAATAAATTTGATCAATTTCACATCTTCAGTTTGAAGTGTTTACCAGGCCTGCCTCATTCATAATTCACCACAGCCGGATTTTGGTAATTCAAAGATAAACAGCCCAGAGAAACCGGCTCTTTTATGCCAGTGTGAGAGGAGTGCCCTGATTTTACCTTTTTTACCCAAATCCATCCAAATTAAAAAGAATCTGTGTTTTTGGAGTTTATACAAGTTCAAAGATGTCCAAAAAGTTGTTTGTAATGAACCGATTCTGGGAAAATATTTAATCTAGATTTGTGATTTATGTTCTAAAGGTACATTGTGTAACTTTCCTTGTGGAGGGTCCGTCAAATGTTTTTCTCCATGGAGATGTTGTTGCTTTGTCAGTTCAAAATTTGAATCGATTGTGATTATGTTAGGGCTTAGGTCGCTGGTTCGAATCCGGCTCGAAGGACCAAGTAAATGTTAGGTTTATCTAAACATTGTAAACAAGAAGAAAGACAAGAGATTAATTCAGTTTTACTCGCGAGGAGAACGGGCAGAGAGTGGGCATCAAAACCAACAGTCTCCACATGTTCTGATGCCTCAAGGCCGTTCTCCTCTTTTTATTTCATTAGGAGGCCCTAGTTACAGAATGATAATTCTCAAGGGGAAGGGGAAACAGCAAAGACATAATAAGAAACTGGTGCAGCTATGCATAGTCCAAACACATAAAACATGATTAACAATCAGGAGGTGCCTTAGGTTTGGTCAGACACCATCATAACTCTTGCATGTGTGACAGTGGGAGTTGGCTTCATGTGAGGAATCATCTCGAGGTTCACTAGAGCGACAGGACACTGCACACAGTTGTCAAACACACAGAGGTTATTCATTTTCATACAAGTGATTGGTACATTATAAATCAAAGAATTGTAGTACATAAATGGTTAACTCATAGGCCTAGAATATCACACAAGTATTTAGCAAATATGGGATAAAATTATTCTGACAGATTAATATTCCAGACAGTCCTGTTTTATATGATATGACAGATGATTGCATCTCAGGTTCATCTCTTGATTCCAGATTTTTCAGTCCTGTTTTATATGATATGACAGATGATTGCATCTCAGGTTCACTTGTGCTTTGTATTGTATTTCCAATTTGGTTGAATTTTCCCTCACTGATTTATCTCTCTCTCCCTCTTTCTCCTTCTCTCTTTTTCTCTTTCTCTTTCTCTATCTCTCCGTTTCTGTCTCTCTCTCTTTTTATTTATTCTGACAAAGTAGAGGTTGGCACATTTATTCTAGACAAGGTCGGTCAAAGTTCTGTCATTGCGTCCTTAGCATAGACTGTATAAAGTATAAATGGACTAAGGGAGTGCGACGTCACCCGTAGTGTTCAGCTCAAGTCAAATGAAGCTTATCGAGGCTTGCAGTCACAGGATCAAATTTGGAGCCAGATTCCACATTATGAATAGAAATTAACCCGTTAACGCCTGAATTTATATAGATGTATATTAAAAAAAAATATGTGTGTGTTTTTGCCTTTAAGTAGATGGTAAATAAAGTTGAGATTATTAATTTGGCTGTAAGAAAAAACATTTGGGTATGTTGAAAATTTGCGACAACTAGAAAGAAGTTCTTGCCAAAGGTTCCTAAGTATATGCATCACCCAGCACTATATCGGTTTATATCTTGATCCAAACAGTTTGTCGTATATTTGTGACAGTCGGCGTTGAGGGGTTAATTTATGGACAACATGGTGAAATAAAACCATCAGGATCATGTAGAGTGGGTTAATATGCAATAACATTTTAATAACATTTTAAGACCAACAGGGTTCCCACAGTCATGGAAATCCAGAAAAAGTCATGGAAATTGAAAATGTCATTTTCCAGGCCTGGACAAGTCATTGTGGCCACACCGGCTGCTAATACACCCACACCACCCCTCAGATCTCAGAAGCTCAGGGTCGGGCCTGGTCAGTACTTGGATGGGAGACCACAGGGAAGTCCAGGTGCCACAGGGGGGCGCCAGTGGCAATCCTTCCTTGTGTCCTTAGGCAAAACACTTCACCCACATTGCCTTGTATGAAAATGGTGTGTGTGTGTGTGTGACTGACTGATGGTGGTGGTCGGATGGGCCGATGGTGCAGATTGGCAGCCTCACTTCTGTCAGTTTGTCCCAGGGCAGCTGTGGCTATAGCAGTAATTTACCACCTCTAAGTGTGGAGTGAATGAATAATGAACTGTAAAGCACTTTGGGTGTCTTGAAAGGCACTATATAAATGCAATGATTAATTAATAATAATAAATTTAAAAAAAAACAGAATTTCATAAATTCAATGAAAGTTTTGGAAAAGTCATGGGATTTTAGTATCTCACAATGACAGCTTTCTGTTATCATTAGGCTATTATGATTATTTAAGACAACAATAAATGCACTGACAGTATTTTGAATGTTAAAAAACTATAATACTAAACCATAAGGTGAGTGTGAAGAGTTAACATTTCATATTTAGTCCTAAAGTCTGATCAATTCTACACATGTAAGTGCCGTGAAGTCATGGAAAATTCACTTTAGGTCATGAAAAAGTCATGAAAAAGTTTTGAAATTTTCTCTGTGAAAAAAAGTGGAAACCCTGGACCCAGAGAGAGGTGATGTTTTCTCAGTACACAGTGAATACGAGTCAGGGTCTGTGGCTCGCAGGTTAGTTATGTCCATTTATATACAGTCTGTGGTCCTTAGGCAAGACACTTCACCCACCTTGACTGATATGAAAGTGTT